GTAAAATACAATACAAAAAAATAAAATAAGAATAATTTTAAAATAATTAAAAATATTTAAATATTTTTAAAAACTTAAATATTTTAAATATTTAAAAAAGTATTTATATATTTTTAAAAATAATATATATAAAAACAATACAGTAAAATACAACTCGAATATACAGGAGCGAAGTCCGACCTTAAGGATGGTGGCGATGAGGAGCCAGTTCCACTCCAGGTTCTGTTTGTGGTTGAGGATTTGACTGTCTCGCAGGTTCGTCATCAGCGCTTCTTCTGTGTCCTGAAAACATCGGTTACAGAAGTTTTTTTTGTTTAATGTTAGTTTTAGTCTTTTATAAATTAATATCTACAGATTACAGATTTTTTTACAAACTTTGATAACGTAGATGTCCCTGTGAGCGCGGGAGTGCGACTCCCTGCGGCTAGGTGAGGACACCGACTTGCGGATGATGTGGTCTAGATAGAGACTGTGTGGTTTCAGACCTTTCTTCTTCTTCTCGTGGAAGCGCTTCAGATTGTTGACAGCTGCGCTAGCACGGCTGAAACAAAAAAAAAAAATACTTTTTTTGGGGGGTTATTAGTAACAACAACATTAATTTTTTTTTTTTAAACTGAGGGATATTTTTTAATTTATTTGAATCAATCAAAATGATAGAAAATAAGAATTTCTCTTAAAAAAAAAAAATTAATTTCTTGAACTATGTTTAATTTTAGTTTTGATTTGAAGGTTAAAAATGACTTTTTAATTTCTTTTTAATTAATCAAAATAAGAAAAAAATGTCTTTATAAAAAATGTATTTAATTAATTAAACCTCATTTAATTTTATTTTGGATTTAAAGGTTAAAAATGACTTTTTACATTTTTTTAATTAATCAAAATAAAAAAATTTTCCTGATTAAAATTAATTAATTAAACTAAATTTAATTTAATTTTTTGATTTGAAGGTTAAAAATGACTGAAGGATATTTATATACTTTTTTAATTAATCAAAAAAAAATTTTGTTAAAAAAAAAAAAAAATAACGGGTTAGGGCGACGCGGGTGAAACTACTCACAGTCGTTTCTCTTGGGGGATGTCAAAAGACGCGGCCAAGTTCATGAGGGTGGGAAGGCAGTGCAGGTGGTGACTGTGGGAGTGGGGGAGGATGGTGTTGGCCTAAAAAAAAAAAAAAAAAGAATTAAAATCACAGTCACTCATAATAAATGGCGAACATTAGTTCAGATCCATATATATTTTTTTTTTGTTACCATATGGAGAAGCTCCCCCAGCAGGATGGTGGCTCTCACAGCGAGTTGGTCGTCACTACTGGTCACCACTTCAACGAGTCCCTACAACGACCACAGAGGAGAGAGGGAGAGGGAGAGAGAGAGAGAGAGAAAGAAAGAGAGACCACTGACTCAGTCCTGTCACCGCAGAGCTAGCTATTTCTGACTGAATCCTCGTGGACTCACCTCCAACAGACCACTGTTGATGAAGGACGACAGCACAAACCCCAGGTAGTTGTCCATCAGATCAGGTCTAATGACAGAGATGAATAATAACATAAAACATCGGTCGGCAAAAAAAATTCAGAATAAAATTTAAAAAAAAAAAAAAAAAAATTTCACTGGGTTCCACTGCGACCCCAGTACCAAATTATCTATGGACTAGTGTGTGGGCCGTGAGCCGGGGTTTGGAGATCCTTGACTTAAAAAAGTCTGTCCGTCGGCCAAACATTACGTAGCGCAGTGAGAGATAATTAGCTGCGCCGCGGAAAATTATCGAAATTCAATTTTTAAAATACTATTATTTATTTATTGCAATTTTTTTTTTCGGTTCGTCAATGCGTGACAGGCAGAACAAGTCAATCCTCTTCCGCTAGGTGGCAGCAGATTGTCTTTCTTCAATTCCTGCCAGTAAATCAGCATCGCCTTCAACTAAACAGGGGTCGATTTTTACTATATTTAAACTAGAGAGATTATAATATTTCATTAAATTGACTTGACGATGGACACAGAAAAGGACGGGAAACACTGATGTGGTGGACATCTCCGGTATTGCAGGTAACTATATCATAGTAGAATATGAACTTTGACCGTTTTTTTTTTTTACTTAATTAGTTAACACTGTAAAAACAATACAAATGTTGACAGCTGGGTTATTAATCCGTGTGCCACCCCCCAATTCCTCCCCCAATACAGTTCACCCTTCATTTTCTCCTTCGTACCTGGAGCGTGCCCGGTGAGGTAAAATGACTTTGGCCTCAGCAGCAACGAATCCGTCAGAGAGTCTCCACGAGTCCTGGAACCTAGAAGGGTCTGGAGTCCAAGTGAACGAGCATCAGTGTGTGTTTAATGGGCGCATACCGCCCCCTACTGTACCGACAGATAATTATAAGATAACAAACCAAAGTTATATTCTCAAGTATTACTCTCAACACCAGCCGTTTTTGTTCTTCTACAACCAAAGGGTTGTGGGTTCAATTACTAATTGGAGCATGAAAAACTGATTCAAAAAAAAAAAAAAAACAGTTCCACTCACCCACACTTAGAAGAGCTTCGATGAAGTCTTGTGTTATGATGGGCACGGGCAGCCTGAAAATCTCATACAGCACCTCCAACAGGCCTTTCTGCAGAAACACATCATTAGAGCAGTCAGTTGGGACATATATATAGATACATATATGCGTATATATATATAAACATATATACATATATGTGTATATTTAAATATATATATACTTACACATATCGTGATGTATACACATATATACATATATGTGTATATACATATATACATATATGTGTATATACATATATGTATATACATATATACATTTTTATTTATATATACACATATACATATTGTGAACACATATATGTGAATATGTATTGTACATATATATTTTATATATATTTATATATAAATATATATTTTTATATAATACACATAATTGATAAAAGTAAATCCAGAATAAAAGCACTGAAATCCATGTGTACACACACATATGTATATATGTGAATATATACATATATTCAAACACACATATATGTACATATTTATTTTTTTATATATTTGTTTACAATACATATCATTACTAATAATAATCCCAGAATGAAAGCACTGAAGCCCTTTAAGCCTTCATTAGGCCTGTCATACTCACCCTCACTTCCATATTTGGTATGCAAAGTAAACCAATTAACGATTGGATGCCAGAATTTCCAGCCTTGCATAGGTTGATGATGCCTGAATATATATATATATATATAAAAGAGAGAATTTGGTCACACTCTGAGAAAAAGGTACTATAAATAAAATACTGTACAATACAATAAATATATAAACATATATTTGAAATATAAAGTCAAATTAATACAAACAACTTGAGGTTTTAACAGACCAAAAATACTGCACATATTATTACTTAAGTATGAAGTAAGTATCGCAGAGGTGGTAACGACATGATTGCACATCATATCAGTGTTAGCAGTGGAACAGTTGTGCTGTTAGCTTTTAGCTTCGGTTCTTACCAGACCAGGAGCGAAAAGCTGCCACTATGGCCATTCTGCTGGACAAGAACCGGGCCTCTTTGTCCTCCCTGACAACACACACGCGCGCGCATGCACGCACACGCACACACGCACACACACACACACACACACACACACAGTCATCATTAGTACTTCAAAGAAGAGGAACAACTTCTCACAGGTCTGTGGTTAGCACCATCTGAGGAGACAGTCTAACTCTGACTGTAGACATTGCAAAAAGATCACAGTGGGGTCATGACGGCCCAGATAACAAGGGTCACGTCGCAAACACACCGTACGGACCCTCAACAATCCTGTTGGTGTTAGCGATACAGGACGACAGAGAGACAGAGAGAGAGAGAGAGAGAGAGAGAAAAACAGACAGAGAGAGAGACTGACAGACAGAGATAGAGAGACAGACAGAGAGAGAGACACAGATAGATAGAGAGAGAGACAGAGAGAGAGAGAGATACAGACAGACTTACTTGAGTTGTCCTTCAGCTGTGTCTGCGTTGTGCCTGTAGTGAAAATCTGTGAAGGGGGCGAGGATTTGCTGTAGGACACGGTGGGGGGAGGGGGTGAGGAAGAAGAAGAAGAAGAAGAAATGTTACAGAGTGAACACATGGTTTCATCTTGTCATCGTGATGTTTAATCTGCCAACGACAGGTGTCTCCACTTCTCCCTGTTGATTACGGTCATGAAGAGGGGCAGTCAATCCCAAAGCCGCTCTTACCTCCAGCTCCACGTCCACCCGCACGTACTGACGGGTGCGTGGATGGTTGAGGAGGTGGAGGATGGTGGTGATCAGTGCTTCGTTGATGCGACTCAGCTGACAGTCGATGACATTCTTCAGGATGGTACTGAGGCCTCCTCGTTTGGCCACCACCTCTGGGTTCTTCAGCGCTGCGGATTTTGAGATAAAAAATTCATTTTTTTAAAAAAATTTTTAACAATTTTTTTTCACCTATAACCTTGCGCAGGATCTCACCTAGTTCACATATAATGGCGATCGCTGCTCGGACCATACGGTCTCTCTCCTGTAGTCCATCAGTGCCCACGGCTATGAGAGAGTTAGCGATGGATGTGGGGAACAGCATAGCATTGACGGTAATGATCTACGGGGAGAACGGACAGCAGCGAAACACGAACCGTCACACGTCTTTTTATTAAACCAAATTTACTGACACCAGAGCTAACGTTAGCTACAACAGTCCTGCTACAAACACCAGAGCTAACAATAGCTACAACAGTCATGCTACAGACACCAGATCTAACGTTAGCTACAACAGTCCTGCAACAGACACCAGATCTAATGTTAGCTAAGACAGTCCTGGTACAGACACCAGAGCTAATGTTAGCTACAACAGTCCTGCTACAAACACCAGAGCTAACATCAGCTACAACAGTCATGCTACAAATACCAGAGCTAACATTAGCTACAAAAGTCATGCTACAGACACCAGAGCTAATGTTAGCCTAGCGTTTGACAGTGCCTGTATGTCTCTGTATATATTTACACTGCAGATATGTTTCTACCCGTATGGCTCAACAGAACCTTCCTGAAACCAGAGCCTGACTCTATGCGCGTTAGTGAGAGCGGAAAGGGTTTACAGTAAACTACAGAAAAAGGCTATAAATATCCGTAGCCTGCGAACTCCACGCTAGGTGTCCACATGCTGACGCCGCAAGCTGCGTCAGCAGTCCGGCAGCACTCGAACAATGACGGAATGTTACGCAATAAAACAAACAGCGTATATTTTACCTTTCGGACAAGTCTCAGCGCCTGAGTTCTCTCGACTTCATTGCTCTGCTGGATGTCGATGCATCTGAAAAAAAAACCCAAAAAAAACCCACAGATGTCACCTTTAAACTGTACAGTTCTTTTTAAACGTGGTGGAATTTTTGACAGGACTGAGGAACTTACCTGGCAATTAAATAATCAACCTGCAGTCTGAGGACCTTTTGCAGAACGTTGGTGTCTCTAATGAGGTAGCGCAGGGCCCGCAAACCCGCAGCACGCACTTCCTTGGCCTCATTTAGCAAAGCTAGTCGAAGACTGGGGTGAGAAATAAATAAAACATTCAATCGTGCGTGGGTTAGCATTTTTTTTTCTTTCTTTAATAAACTGCGACAACACTCACCAAACTATGATTTCTTCGTGCGTAAACCCAAAGTTCTCCTCACGGTGGCCTATGTTGCAGATCAGCTGCACAAAATAAATAAATAAATATGAAGAGAATTGATTTCGCAAAATGTGATGTTGACTGACATTTCACGTCACGGCGAACGAAACACATTTGCCGAATCATCTCCGTATTTTACGTCGCCTTCAGGGGCACACGTAGCTGTAAAGTAAACTGTTTACACGTCACGGATTGTGGACTTTCTGTTGCTAAGCTAATGGGGCTACAACGTGTGTAGCCTGTCGAAATGTCGTAGAACGAGTGTGAAAAGCGAGTGAAAGATCTGAGGTCGTGTCTGGAGCACAGGTCACTTTTTGGACGTTAAGTTGCAACATCGGTTCTGTCCATATACCAAAGCTAACATTAGCTACAACAGTCTGGCTACAAACACCAGAGCTAACATTAGCTACAAAAGTCATGCTACAGACACCAGAGCTAACATTAGCTACAACAGTCTGGCGACAAACACCAGAGCTAACATTAGCTACAACAGTAAAGTAAACTGTTTACACGTCACGGATTGTGGATTTCCTGTTGCTAAGCTAATGGGGCTACAACGCGTGTAGCCTGTCGAAATGTCGGAGAACGAGTGTGAAAAGCGGGTGAAAAGATCTGAGGTCGTGTCTGGAGCACAGGTCACTTTTTGGACGTTAAGGTGCAACATCGGTTCTGTCCATATACCAAAGCTAACATTAGCTACAACAGTAAAGTAAACTGTTTACACGTCACGGATTGTGGATTTCCTGTTGCTAAGCTAATGGGGCTACAACGCGTGTAGCCTGTCGAAATGTCGGAGAACGAGTGTGAAAAGCGGGTGAAAAGATCTGAGGTCGTGTCTGGACCACAGGTCACTTTTTGCACGTTAAGTTGCCACATCAGTTCTGTCCATCCTATGATGTGCTCCTCGGTTAGCAGTGGACTAATCTAGCTTTAGCTTTAGTGTGTGCTAATTCAGAGGATGGTGAGCTGGGTGGTTGTTTTGAACCAACGGATGTCAAAGCTCAGGCAGGCAAGAGAAAAGAGGAGTGGGGGGAGGGGGAGATGGGGAGAAGGGCATGTGACACTGTCCAGGGGGATTAGGTCACCCTCACCGTCTTAGAATCCTTATAAGGAATGCAAAGCGCGGTGACGGTCGCACCCGCTGTAAACGAAACAGTACGGTTCCGTTACAGCTGCTCATCTCGGGCGAATGGGAGGGGTTCAGGCGTTCACCTGCGTTTGCCAAAACCGACCGTTTGACCGAGGAATCAAACGCGCCGCACAGCGTTTACCTTGATGAAGTTGTTCAGGTGGCCCAGCTTTCGCATGTTGCTAACTCCATGTTGTTTGGCCACGTTTTGGAGGATTTCTCGGAAGTTCTCTGACGGCTCTGGAGGAGGAACAGACAGACAGGAAATACATCGTAACATTGTAACCGAGTCGGGCGTCGAGTCGTGTTGCCACAATAATGGCAATAACGGGTGATATGTTGCACAGGTGTATTTGATATGTTGCAGAAAGGAAGTGAAGCTAAGCTGGTCAAACTGTATCGGTGTGTACACTCCAAACAAGGTCAACAGCTTAAGACACCAAGAAGGAAGTGGGTTTTTACCCCCCCCTTTCTTTTTTTACCTCCTTATTTTGTCAACAACATCCTCTTAGTTGAGGAAACCGATAAATATGTGGCAACTGTCAACAAACCTATTCATAAAACAAAAAAAAAGCTTCAGATCAGATGACACGAATTACGTTTCAATCTGGCGGAAAAAAAAAAACAGCCAATCGTTTTTTAATCAACTATAGAGATTCGTTACGACCTCATTAACATAATATTGAAATATTTATTAATTTGTTGTATGATGAATTATTCCTAAATATATGTATGCATATATGTATTATATATTTTAATATAATAAATATATAATATATATTTAAATATATATTTATATATATTTACATAATTATATGTATGTATA